TATATATATGTATATACATACATACATGTATATATACACATATATACATACATATGTATATACATATAGCTTTTATACAGAATCACAGAGTCATTTTATGTCAAGCCAGTTTGGAGCTTGGGAGGGGCCAGGGAAAGGCGCATGGTCAGTTTTGACTCTAAGTTAAAGATTCGAGATGAACTAGTCTGATGGAAGCCTAGGACAGTGGTTCTCAAAATGTGATCCCTGTCCTAGCAGCATCACATCACCTGAAAACTTGTTAGAAATGCACAATTTCCCTCTTCACCCCACTCTGAATCAGAAAATCTGGGGGTGAGGCCCAACAATCTTTTTTTTTTTTTTTAATGTTTATTTATTTTTGAGACAGAGAGAGATAGAGCATGAATGGGGGAGAGTAAGAGAGAAGGAGACACAGAATCTGAAACAGGCTCCGGGCTCTGAGCTATGAGCACGGAGCCCGACATGGGGCTTGAACTCACAAACCGTGAGATCATGACCTGAGCTGAAGTCGGACGCTTAACCAACTGAGGCACCCAGGTGCCCCACTGGTTTTGGTTTTAACAAACCCTTGAGGGATTCTGATGCAGGCTTAAGTCTGAGAGCTACCCACTCGCCTAGGGGAAAACCAGGAGAGACTGAGAACAGATTGTGAATGAAATGCGTGGGTGTTGATATTTAATTCTTCAGCATATAATTCTGAATCAGAGGCATTCCCAGTACATGGGCCGCAGATAGCAAAGCAGGCTGTAGAGTTACTGCAAGGAGGCCACAAGTTCATGTGTCTGAGACTGAATAAGCAATATATCTTATTCTATGTATGTACTGAGATTTTTCCGAAATGCCACTGTAATTAATAAGTGCAGATTTATTCTGGGCCTCAGTTTCATTATCTGTAAAATGGAGGGGTTAGACTAGAATCTAGTCATTAGATGATTTCTGGCAATTTTTCCCACTCTAAGAAAAGTTACACAAAATAGCCAGGAAATTTTCTATCAGACACATGATTGCAGTGCACTTAAATCGTGTCCATATTGTTCAATAGGCTAAAAATAATGGTAACAGTTCCTACATGTTTATAGACATTTCTGGCTCATTAAACACCTACTCTGTTGACTTGATCCTGTTCACTCCCATTTTACAGAGGAGCACCTGAGTCTCAGAAAGGTTAAGGAAGTTGCCCGATAGCTTAGGATTATTAAGGGATACAGTAAGCACCTGACTTCAAGCCCCAAGACTGACATTGCCTCTTTACCACTCTGCCTGTAGAGTGACAGAATGTAGGGATATTCTAGGTGTTAGAAGAGTAGAATCTGGTGCTTACACTTTGACAGGGCCCACTTTCACTGAAGCAGCCATATCTCCAGCCCGTCAAGGAGATGAGGGTAGCTGCAATGAGTACCTGGGAGAGGAGAGAAGAAAGGTAAAAAGAGATTGGGTAATTGACATTTCTAGCTGCCACCTGTGGCTGTTGAAATAGATTGGCTGGGCACCTCACATGGACTTGATTATCCTATCTTTCCCAGAGGGTTTGGCTTTGACTATCAGGACCCAGTTGGGTGACTAGCCTGATCTGCCTCTCTGGCCGGCAACGTTTACCCCTGGCCTGCTAGTCCCGAGCCAAAGTTCAGCCACAAGACTTGACAAGTCTTCCTAGAGTCTCCTATTCCTCGGGACTGATATACAACTGAGACCAGCTTGCTAGGTCAAGCATTCTTTTTTTTTTTTTCTTTAAGATTTTATTTTTGAGTAAATCACCCAACATGGGTCTCGAACTCACCCTGAGATCAAGATGGCACATGCTCTACCCGTTGAGACAGCCAGGCACCCCCAAGATCAAGCATTCTTGCAAGGAACCAAAACATGACTCCCCTACCACCTCCCTGTTCCACCCCAAGGCATGTCTGGCAAAGTCACACCTGGGGAACTCAGAACACTTACCATGAGGCCTCCTCCCCAGAGCCCAGAGCCCAGCATGGCTTGCTTGCCAATGAGGCCTCTCAACAGGTAGCTCACATCCCAGTTAGGAAAGAGGAGCACTGTGTTGGCTCCAGCAGCAAACAGGGCAGTGGTCCCGAGGCTCAGCCCCAGGATGCGGGAGCAGGTCCGTGAGCATGCCATCACACCAGGAGAAGACAGCATCCTGGAACCAATGGATGGAGGGTCATGGTGGCTCTGCTGCTGGGAGCATCAGGAAGGAGAACACTCATAGCAAGGGTGGGGTGGGGGAGACAGACTACAGATACTATGACCTCCCGGGGTACAGATCAAGAAGAGCCAAGGAACCTGCTTTGAAACGCTGCCTTTTATAAATATGCCCCAATGGGTAGGATTTAATTGCTCCATTTTCTGCCAACCCCCACTCACATGCACACACTCCTCATCCCCTCATGTTTTGCTGTACCTCTGTTACAGCTAGTGATTATTTCTATTTGATACAGAAAAAAATGTTTAAAGGTGTCACCCTCTCTCTTTAAAAAATGCCATTTAAAATTTTTTTTTTCCACGTTTTTATTTTTGGGACAGAGAGAGACAGAGCATGAACGGGGGAGGGGCAGAGAGAGAGGGAGACACAGAATCGGAAACAGGCTCCAGGCTCTGAGCCATCAGCCCAGAGCCCGACGCGGGGCTCGAACTCACGGACCGCGAGACCGTGACCTGGCTGAAGTCGGACGCTTAACTGACTGCGCCACCCAGGCGCCCCAAAAAATGCCATTTTAAAGATGTCTACTCTTACCACTTCCATTCATTATTGTGCAGGAAGTGCTATCCAGTGCAATAAGAAAATAAAAAGCAAAAGCCATACGGATAGGAAAGAAAGAAGTAAGGTAACATGATTATCTATATAGAAAATCCAAAAGAATCGGGGAGCCTGGGTGGCTCAGTCAGTTGGGTGCCCGACTTCGGCTCGGGTCATGATCTCATCGTCTGTGGGTTTGAGCCCTGCATCTCCACATCAGGCTCTGTGCTGACAGCTCAGAGCCTGGAGTCTGCTTCGGCTTCTGTGTCTCCTCTCTCTCTCTCTCTCTCTCTGCCCCTCCCCCGTTCAAGCTCTGTCTCTGTCTCTCTCAAAAATAAATAAATATTTTAAAAAATTAAAAAAAAAAAAAAGAAAATCCAAAAGAATCTATCAAAAAGTTACTAGAACTAGTAAGTGAGTTTAGCAAGTCACAGGATAAGAACTTAATACACAGGGGTGCCTGGGTGGCTCAGTCTGTTAAGCATCTGACTTTGGCTCAGGTCATGATCTCATGGTTTGTGAGTTCAAGCCCCAATCAGGCTCTCTGCTGTCAGCAAAGAGCCTGCTATGGAACCTCTGTCCCACTCTCTTCTGCCCCTCTCCCACTTGCACGGGCTGTCTCAAAAATAAACATTAAAAAAATTTTTTTAACTGAAAAAATTAATATACAAAGATTTTGTTGTATTTCTATACACAAGCAATGACAAATTGAAAAAATTAAACAATATCATTTAAATAGCATAAAATAGGGGCATCTGGGGGCTCAGTCAGTTAAGCATCCAACCCGTGATTTTGGCTCAAGTCATGATCTCACGGTTTGTGAGTTCAAGCTCCACATCAGGCTCCATGCTGATAGTGCAGAGCCTGCTTGGGATTCTCTCTCTCCCTCTCTCTCTCTGCCCTTCCCTCCCTCACTCTCTCTGTCTCCTGTCTCTCTCTCAAAAATAAATAAATAACTTTAAAAGATTAAAAATAAATAATGGCATAAAATAGAAAATACTTATGGATAAATTCAACAAAATATGTGGAAGACCTGTGCACTAAAAAGAACAAAAGATTCCCGAGAAAAATTAAAGACCTAAATAAATGGAGAGATATACAACATCCATGGGTCAAAAGACTTACTCTCATTAACTGTCAATTATCTCTAAATTGATGTTTAGTAGAGGCATTTGGGTGGCTCAATCTGTTAAGCATTCGACTTCAGCTCATAATCTCGCAGTTCTTGGGGCTCTGTGCTGACAGCTCAGAGCCCGGAGCCTGCCTTGGATTCTGTGTCTCCCTCTCTCTCTGCTCCTCCCCTGCTCTCTCTCTTTCTCTCTCTCTCTGTCTTTCAAAAATAATGGATTTTTTAAATAAACATTAAAAAATTAAAAAAAAATTGATGTGTAGATTCAATGCAATCTCAGCCAAAATTCTAGCAACATTTTGTTGCAGAAATTAACGAACTGAATCTCAATTTAGATGGAAATGCCAAGGTCCTAGATTAGCCAAAATAATTTTGAAAAAGAACAAAGTTGGAGGACTTACACCATGTGATTTCAAGACATTATAAAGTTACAGTAAAGGTACAGAAAGTAAAGTGCTGGTGCATAAAGACATACAGACCACTAGAACAGACTAGAGAATTCAGAAATAGACATACACAGATATGAGCAAATGATTTTTGAAAAAGATATTATTTCAGTGGGAAAACGATAGTCTCGAACAGTGCCGTGACAATCTATGTGCAAACAATATATATATTATATCATATATATATGATATATATATATATATACCATGACTATTACTGTAAACCATATTTAATAGTTAGAAATGAACCATAGGCTTAAACTTACTAAAATTTTAGAAGAAAACAAAGGAGAAAACATTGGGACTTGAGTTAGAAAAAGACTTATTAGATAAAACACAAAAAGTACAACCCATAAAAATGAGAAGTTAAACTACTTCAAAATTAATTTGTTCTACAAAAGACACCATGAAGAAAATAAAGAAGCAAACCACGGACTGGCAGAAAATATTCACAACATAAATTTTGTAAGTGTGTATGTGAATACGAGTGCATACACATCTGATAACACACTGTAACTAGATTATATGAAGAACTCTTACATCTCTATAATAATGAGACAGGTTGATTTAGAAAATGGCAAAAGGATTTAAACAGATATTTCATTCCATCTCACAGAAGAAGATGTATGGATGACAGCTAAGAACAAGAAAAGATGCTGAACATCATTAACATAAGGAAACACAAATTAAAACTAAAATAAGATCCTACTGCAGACCCAGCAGAATTGTTTCCGTTAAAAGGTTGGACTACACCAAGTATTGGGGGGGATGTGGAGCAACCAGAACATTCATATGTAGCTGGTGAGAATGCAAATGGTACAAACCACTTTGTATTTTATTTTGTTTGTTTTTAAGCCTACTTATTTATATGAGAGAGAGAGACAGAAAGAGAGAGAGAGAAAACACACAAGTGGGGGAGGGGCAGAGATAGAGGGAGACAGAATACCAAACAGGTTCCGCACTGTCAGCATAGAGCCCGATGCAGGGCTCAAACTCAGAACCAAGAGATCATGACCTGAGCCAAAATCAAGAGTCAGTCACTTAACTGACTCAGCCACCCAGCGCCTCTCCCCCCACCCCCCCCACCCCACCAGACCACTTTGTAAATTAGCTTGGCAGTTTCTTATAAAGTTAAACATTTAACTTACCAAATGATCAAGTAATTCCACTTCTACATGTTTATCCAAGAGAAATGAAAGTACATGTCCACACAAAGATTAGGACTTGAATGTCCATAGCAGCTTTATTCATAATAACGACAAGTTAGAAAAATGGGAACAACTTAAGTGTCTACCAACAGATGAATGGATAAACAAAATGTGGCATGTGCATATAATGGAATATTATACAGCCATGAAAAGGAAAGAAGTTCTGAAGCATGCTACAACATGGACGAAACTTGAAAACATTATGCTAAATGAAATAAGCCAGACACTGAAGGATAAATATTGTATTATTTCACTTACATGAAATATCCAGAGTAGGCAAATTCAGAGAGACAGAAGTAGATTAGCGGCTACCAGAAACTGAGGGTGGAGGAATGCGGAGTTATTGTTTAATGGTTACAGAGTTTCTGTTTGGGGTGATGAAAGAATTCTTGAAATAGATAGAGGTAATGGTTACCCAATATTTTGAATGCAATAGATGCCACTGCATTGTGCACTTTAAAGTGTTTAAAGTAATAAATGTTATGATATATACATGTTACCATAATAAAAAAATTAACTGAAAATGAGAAATAACTCAAATGTTCATCAATAGGTGAATAAATAAATTGTGGTATATCCATTCAACTGAGTACCTCTACCAGGCAATAAAATACGAGGCTATTGTTTTTTTAATTATGTAACAATGAACTTGAAAAATTACATGTCTCAACTAGATAAGGTGAAAAATGCCACCTAGGCACCTTTACTTATAGCCGTTTCTCCTTTTTACATTTTCACTGATACATGCGCTTCTTGTTGTTTTTCTAAATGTGAATTAGAATAAGGCTAGTGAGATTTGGTAGACTCCTGTCAATGCGGATCTGAAAAATATCAGTGCTTTGACATTCCGAAGAAGTTGCCTGTGCTGCTTTGCAATTTAGCTGAGTCCATGTCACCGTGAGGCTCTTGACACTCCCCTCCTAACACATTACTTTGCACATAATCAGAAAATATGTGTGAATCAGGGACCCGCTTCTCTCTTTTACACACATACACATACATATACATACATAATAAAATATCTCAGGGTTTAAAACATTAAACACAATGTATATACTTATAAGTTCTATGGAAAAGCTAAGCAACATCCGTATAAATACAACCAGCTTACAAAACAGGTCACTACCACTAATATTATTGAAGCCCTATGTGTGCCTATCGATCCTACCCTTTTTCTAGATTCCTTCCTAGGAAAGACTATCCTACATTTTTTGTCATACCTTTAAAAAAAAATTTTTTTTTTTAAGTTTATTTTGAAAGAGAGAGAGCACGCACGCAGCGTAGGGGCAGAGAGAGAGGGGAGAGAGAATCCCAAGCAGGCTCTGCACTGTCAGCACAGAGCCCAGTGTAGGGCTTGAATTCACAAACCATGGGATCCACAAACCATGGGACCTGAGCCAAAACCAAGAGTCAGGCACTTAACCAACTGACCAACCCAGGCACCCCTATCATACCTTTTCACAAACAGCTTTGTGAAGTGCCTGGATCACTCAGTCGGTTAAGCATTTGGACTTTGGCTCAGGTCATGATCTCACGGTTCATGGGTTCAAGCCCGGCTCTGCACTGACAGCCTGGAGTCTGCCTTGGATTCTGTGTCTCCCTCTCTCCGCCCCTCTCCCACTTGTACTCTGTCTCTCTCTCAAAAATAAACATTAAAAGATGGGGCGCCTGGGTAGCGCAGTCGGTTAAGCGTCCGACTTCAGCCAGGTCACGATCTCGCGGTCCATGAGTTCGAGCCCCGCGTCGGGCTCTGGGCTGATGGCTCAGAGCCTGGAGCCTGTTTCCGATTCTGTGTCTCCCTCTCTCTCTGCCCCTCCCCCGTTCATGCTCTGTCTCTCTCTGTCCCAAAAATAAATAAAACGTTGGAAAAAAAATAAACATTAAAAGAAAAAAACAGTTTTACAACTTACAAAGTCAGTTCTTAAAAACAAAAACTTGATTGGCCCAGCATTTTGTATTTGTCCGGCTGCAGCTCATGGTAAAGAGTTTGGTGCCAGACACAGCGCTGAGCAGGCCTTTGCATTGGGGGTTATGTTCCTGTGCCCTTCCCATCATTCCCCAACCCCTGCACCCCCTAGGGACCTTTGCTTCCCCTAATCTCAGAGCCCAAGCTTGCCTCTTGCAACTCTTCCCAAGGGAGAACTTCCAGCTGCAGGGGCTAGTGTTTAGGGTGGAGAGTTGTCTCATTGTGTGCCCTTGCCCCAGGGTATTTGCTCCTTAAGCCATTTTTCTCACAGTGAATAAAAGAACTTGCCCCTGGATGAAAGTAAGTTCAGGCCTCCAGGGAGAGGGAGTTGGAGGTAGGGTATGGGGGAACAGTGACCCTTAACCCAGGGATGGGAGGAAGCTGGAGGGAAGTGGGGACCAGGGATCAGGAGGGATGCTGTGGTTTCTTCCCCCTGCCCTCTCCCAGCGGGCCCACTGCAGGAGGCCTCTTTTCCTGAAGTACTTGCTGCTGCAGCCTCAGGCCTTTAGGGTGATGAGCTGGCCCTGCTGTCAGGAGACAGGGCACCTGTAGGAAAACAGTTCTCCCCACAGTCTGCCCACCAACCTTCAGGATGTAAGTGCGTGTCTGCGCAGCCTCCCTCCCAGACTGTTCAGTCATTGAGTGCAGGGCTCTCAGTGTGTCCGTGTTGGCTCGAATTAACCCCTCAGGGGCGTTAGCAAGTAACTTTAACCCGCACCCCCTCCCAGAGAACTGACATCTTGTCAAGGGCCCAAGTAAGGACCAGTGTGTGGTTGGACTTTCAAGCATGCGCTGTAGACCACGGGCTGGGAGGAGCTTTTGTTCAGGAATTGGTTGGGCCACCTTTGAATCCACCTGTGACTAAGGCCTGTCTAGACTTAGATAACCACCCCCCTCCCGCCCGGACGATCCCTTCTGTGGAAATATTTCTATCAGGAAAGAGGTTTATAAAGGAAACTAAAATAATATAAACACGCAGAGGGAAAAATAAGAAGTTGAGCACGGCCTTTGGGATGAGTGGAATTCAGAGAATCCTGGCCGTCCACTAATCTTCTAAAAAAGCATTTGCTGGGCTGCCTCAACTAATTCAGATTAGTTTCAATTTCACTCCTTCTCCCGGACTCTGTTCCCCAAGAAATCACAACATTCTGAGAAACATTTCCACAACTCTGAGCCAGAAATTAGCAAAGAGTTTGGCCAATTTGATCTCTGAAGAGAGAAGCAGGTTCATAAGGTGAAACCTTAAAACCAGGCTTTCGGGCAGGCCCTGTTTTATTTTTTTTTATTTATTTATTTATTTATTTATTTATTTATTTATTTTTTTAACGTTTATTTATTTTTGAGACAGAGAGAGACAGAGCATAAACGGGGGAGGGTCAGAGAGAGGGAGACACAGAATCTGAAACAGGCTCCAGGCTCTGAGCTGTCAGCACAGAGCCCGACGCGGGGCTCGAACTCACGGACCGCGAGATCATGACCTGAGCCGAAGTCGGCCGCTTAACCGACTGAGCCACCCGGGCGCCCCAGGCAGGCCCTGTTTTAACCTGTGATCCTGGCCGGGTAAACAAATCACTGGCCAGATGTCTAGGCAACAATAGAAGTGATCCGCTAAGTCATATGAAGGAAAAGACTGCATATTCTCTGTGTGTCTATCTACCTCACTCATCACCCCGACAGCCTTTTCTTTCATTCCTTCAGCAGTCAATATTTATTAAGTGTAAGTGACTGCTTTCTGGCAGTCACGATGCTAGGAGCTGGAGATACCACGGCGAATCAGAGACGGTCTCTTCTCTTGAGGAGCTTAAAGCCGAATGGGAACAATGACAGGGCAATAAACAGGTGCTGAGCAGAGGCGTCCAACCAAAGGTGTAATGGAAGCACACCAGGGACCGCCTAATCTTGTCCTGCAGAAGTGAGGTAACACCTTCTGGAGGAAGTGCTGACCAAGCTAAGACTTCACAGACAACGAGGCATTAGGCAGGCAAAGTTGGCGAGGAAAAGTATTCTAAGCATGTGGAGAAGCCCAAAGTTGACAAACCGAGGCAAAGAGAAGTGATGTGAATTGCCTGAAGCCACACAGCTGCTCTGTGGCAGAGCCAGGTCTCATTCGAGTTGGAAGTTTGTGCCCTTAACTGTTAAGCCATACTGTTCCCTGGCTATCTCCTCACTGAGCCCTTTCATCTGTGCTTACCTGCATCCAGTGGCAAGAATCAGGATGGGAGACAAAGAAGCTGGAGAAGGGCTCTGTCTTCAACGTAGGCCTGTGCTCCCACAGCCCCGGCTGGGACTGTGACTCCTGCAGGGCAGGCCAGAGGCTCCCGTTTCAGGACCCTCCAAGAGGGCAGGGTGGCTCTGTATATATGGAGAGGTCACCCAGGCAAGCGAGCCTGTGAGTGTGCATGCGCCCCCACACCACTGCCCACAGGCCTCCATTGAAGGAGTTTTCTCTTCTTGGTGAGCCCTCTCCTGATGACCCACCCTCTGCTCATTCTCATGTGACCTTAAGGAAGGAACCAGGAGCCATGGCCTCGTGAGCTAAAGTGTCTCAATGAGTCAGACAAGAACCCGTGAGAAATACCTTATCCTCCCGTCTTGCTCAAGCAGCAATACTTTTTCACATACTAGCAGCCCTTATCTTTCACTCATTGCAGAATTGGGGCTCTTTGGAAAACCAGCACTGGACAGAGCAGCCACCATGTTTTCCTTATCACCCTCCTTACTTTGCTGACTGGATATGTTGCATGGTTCCTTTACTAGCCTCCTAACTTTCTTGTTCAAGCCCCAGGCCACCATCATCTTGTAGCAGTCACACGAGAGTGCTGAGCATTTTGTGGTGCTCTCTGCATGGGAGATCTCTCACCCCCTTCTGACACTCTCCTATTCAAGATTCAGTTCAATCATCCCCAGGGAAGTCTTCCCCGATTTCTTCACTCAGAGTTAGGCACTTCTTTCTCTATGTTCTCACTGTACTTTATTATTTTTTAAACTGAGGTGTTCTATACACACAATAAAATATGCCACACTTTTATTTTTTAAAAGATCTTTTTAAAATAATCTCTACACCCAATCTGGGGGCTCAGACTTACACCCCCAAGATCAAGAGTCACATGTTCCACCAACTGAGCCGGCCAGGCACTCCCACAAATCTTAATTATAAAACTTAATGAATTTGTATATGTGTACCCAGGGTAACTGGGTCATTACAAATCAAGATACGGGACATCGCCAAAATCTCCAGAAGATTCTAGTATGTCCCCTCTCATCATTATCCCTATCCCCAGTGTATTTATTTTGGCTTTTATCACCAATTAGCTTTTGGCTATTTTTGAATTTCATATAAACGGAATCATATAGTGTGCACTTTTTTGTGTCTGGTTTTCTTCACACAATATTGTATATGTAAGATTCATCTTTCATATAATTCATTCTTTTTTATTATTCCATTATATGGAATTATATTACAATTTATTCTACTTGTTGATGGACATTTAAATTATTTCCAATTTTTACCTATTATAGATAATGCCACTATAAATATTCTTATACATGTCTTTTGGAAAACCTATGCACTAATTTTTCTAGGGAATATACCCAGGAGGGGGATTGCTGGGTCATAGGGTAGGTGGATATTTAATTCTAGTAAATGATATTGTTAGTAGCCCAAAGTGGTCCTGCCAGTTTGCAGCTCCCAGCAACAGTGTGTGAGTTCCAGTTACTTCCAACATTTTTAATTTTAGGCATTCCAGTGGTTTAGTAGTTTCTCATTGTGGTTTTAATTTGAATTTTCTTGATGAGTAAGCACTTTTTGTACTTACCCGGCCATTTGGAATTCCTTTTTTGAGAAGTGGCTGCTCAAGTCATTTGCTCAGTTTTTATTGGTTCCTTCTTACTGATTTGTGGGAGTTCTTTATAACTCCAGACATGACACCTTTGTCAGATGTATGCATTATGAATGTTTCCTCTCGTCTGTGGTTTGCTTTTCTGCTAATGATGACACCTTTTGATGAAGAGAAGTTCTTGATTTTAATTAAGTCCCATTTATCAATCTTTTCCTTTACGGTCACTGCTTTTTGTTGCCCACTTCCAACGGCATTTGATTTACCTGTGCTGTTTTTATGCCTCTTCTCCCACAACCGTGAGATCCCTGAGGGCAGAGGCTGTATCTTACTCTGTTCTGTATACCCAGAACCTACCATAGAGCCTAGAACTTGGTAGGAGTTCAGGAATCACTTGGTTAATGAATTAATTCATCCACCAGACCAAGTAACACACATAGTCTCTGTGCCCTTATTTTAGTCTTTAGAACTTGGTAGGAGTTCAGGAATCACTTGGTTAATGAATTAATTCATCCACCAGACCAAGTAACACACATAGTCTCTGTGCACAGATTTTACTTCTAATGATGAAAACAAATAATCCTGAGAAAACCGTTGATGCATGTATATGAGAAGGGATAATTATAACAGACTATTACATTTTTTTAAAACTACATACGAGCTGCTTTCTATGTATGCAGATGTACATGTGCCTGAAGACAAGCTGGTAAATAACTATTGGAAAGTTCATTAAATAGAACCAGTTTTCATTTTCACTGCAAAAGGGAACCATTTAGAACCTAAATGAATTCTTGTGTCTTTCCAGAGAACTGAATTTTGATAAAAGATACTAGGCTGAGTATTCACAAAGCTTTATAGTAAGAAGAAACATTTATTCACCTTATACAACACATGTACAAACTATCTCATTAGATCTTTACAACAGACTTACAGCAAATAAAATACATGTTAGGTTAGCTTTATTATGCAGATGAAGAGATTCTAGAGCAGAGGAATTTGACCTGCTCAGAGTTAACAGTGAATGAGATTGGGGAAATGATCCTGTTATCTGACTGTACGCTCTACACAATTCCACACATTCATGCTTGAGCTTTTTTTTTTTTTTTTTTTTTTTTTTTTTGCCCCCAACCCAGATGCCGACCATCTTAAAGTATTTCTTCTTAGAGGCGGTACTGTGGTGCTTTGGCACCTGAGGGACCTGGATCTCAGTTCCTGTCACAAATACCTATTAGCTATGTGAACTTGAGTGGTTTACAGAGCCCCAGTAATAATCTGGGCCTCAGTTTTTCATTTATGAAACGATGCCTACCTTGTAAGTTTATTTTGAACATTAAATAAAATGTGAGATGCCTAGAATGAGTTAGTCCCCTCCCGCTGTTCTTGGCTCTCAGCTTAGCAAAAGGATTTTATATGCATTATCTGTTAGAAACCTGTTACGTGGGCCATTAGAGTGATCTGATGGCTAACTGCCAGATCTCGCTCAGATTTTTAGAAGGGGTCTCTGTTCCCAACTCAATGGCTTATCTAACAGCTGACACTCTCATATGGGTATCATTAAAATGGTGCTTGTGGAGCAAAGGGAAGTGATGCAATTTGGCTTTAACCCCTGAAAGAAAGTACCAGACTTCTTTGGGGCTTATGATAGCAGCTGTAGGTTTTTGTTCCTTAGGGTAAATGTGTCACACTTCAATGATTAGTCTTACCAATAAGATACTTCTTTTAGAAACGGCATACTTGCAACAGTTTTACTTAGTAAGGCTAGCTTTAGTTCAATTCTTCACGTCCCTGTAGGAAGCCTCTATGGTAACGGAGGCCTGGACACTGCCACAAAAGAACTACAGCATTACCTTTTTACCGATGTGTTAATAACCTTAGAATTTGGCTCCATTGGAGACACACCTACTAGTTACCACTTTGGTGGTGACATTTCTAGGGAGAAGCAGATGGGAGTCTAGGAAAGGCACACATTAAGAACGGGGCTTGGGTGGGAAAATAATTTGCCTAATGCCATAAACCAAGACTGAAAGGCTTAGGAGAACAGGAGAGACAGATGTTCCATTCTGAGGGATACTGGGGGGTCTGGAGGTGGGGTCTGAGCAAGGAATAGAGGAAGCTGAGAGCATGGAATTCACTGGCAGAGGGAAGGGGAAAAGATGATGACCATCAGGCCAGTCTTCCCCAAATAAAAGTGACAGACTGTCAGCTTCCTTGTGGGTGGGCTCCGATCTCAACTGACAGCTGACTAAACAGGAAAGCACATTCCCTTAATTGGAGAGAGAAAAAAAGGAAGATAGATGTTGAAAGAATTGCCATTCATACCAGTCCACTGAAGAGGAAGTATTGTTTTTCTTTTTATTTCATTAGTATACAAATACTACAAACGTCAACCCACTCCGATTAGGCTTCTGTTTCCAACACCACACTGAGATTGTTCTTGGTCTCCTCAATGACTTTTTGCATCTAATAAACACTTCCCTGTCCTTTTTACTTGAGCCTGAGACAGAATTAGACCTAGTTGGCCTCTAGAGCCTTTTTGAAATTCTTGCTCTTCACTCCTTTGACACCTCACTCTGGTGTTTCTCTTCTCTCACTGGCTGCATCCCCTCGACTGGGCCTCTTTCTGTTGGGTGATCTCCAGACCTGGATTCTGGACCCTCTGCTTCAACTTTGTCCCTAGGTGACTTCACTCTTTCTCATGGGACTAATAAACTCTGTAATGCTGATAGTTTTTCAGATCTCTAATTCCAGTCCACCTCTCCTCCAAGCTTCGCGCTCACATGTCCAACTTCCTGTACTACACCTACCCTTGGAAGTATCACAGTGAACACGTCCAAAATGATCTCTCCCCCGACCAAACCTGCCTGATCACATCTTCCTGCCTCAGTAACGACACCGCTACCTACTCCCTGCCGGAAACTCATGATTGATTTCGCTTTTCTTCGTTCCTCCACATCTAATCCGACAGGAAGTCTTTCCATTTCTACTTTCATCATGCATCTCTAATCTATACACTACTTCCCAGTTCCACTCTCACTCTTTGGTCCAGGCGACCTCTGTTTTGCAGTTTGATCACTGCGACAGTCTCTGCTCTTGCTCTTTTCCAACTCACTGTCCACATGATAATGTCTTCTCATTATACCTGGAACATGATCTGGGCTCCTTACCAGGGCCTACTAAGGCCTTATATGACCTGGCTCCTGCGCGTTTTAGGCCACTCCCTTTGCTCACTACACACCAGACCCATTTGCCTTCTCTCGATACCTCAAGTACATCCTGTCCCCCAGCTCTTCAAGTTGTTCTGCTTGGAGGTTCCGCTCCTACTCTTGGCATGGCCACTTTCGCTGCATCCTTTGGGTCCCAGCCTAAATGTTAACTCCCCAACATCTTATTTAAAGCAGAATTCTCTATCTGCTTTTCTATTTTTTCCACAGTATTTGAATCAAACCTTTGTCTTTAAATTTGTGTATTGTCTGCATTCAT